TCGGGCTCCCTGCTCGGTGGGGAGCCTGCTTCTCCCTCTGCCTGCCACTCCCCCTGCCTGTTCTTTCTCCCTCTCTCTCTCTCTCTCTCTCTCTGTCAGATAAATAAAATTTTTAAAAATCTTTAAAAAAAGACTCACGAGATATAGCCCCACCTCCCCACTGACCTCCTCCTGCCCCAGTCACCCCTCCCACCCCGCCCTGCGGCCCACCGGCCTCCCCACTGAGGGACCTTCCTCCAGCTTTTCTAGGGGACTCCTTTCCCAGGTCTTCGCGTGGTGGCTCTCTGTTGGCATTTAGAGTTTCAGCCCCGTTTTATTTCATCTCCTCAGAGAAGCTTCCCCAGACCATCTGGTCTAAAATAAAGTAGCCTCTCTCCTCCCACCACCCAGTTCCTCTCTGACAGTATCCTCTCTTTTCTTCTTTACACAGCACAATTGCAAAACGAAGTTATATTGACCACTGTCTTGTTTTATGTGTCCTCACAAAAAGAATGTAAATTTTCAGAGAATAGAGACCTCATTTGTCTTGTTCACTGTCATATCCTTAGCACCCGTAAGAATGCCTCGCACAGAGGATGTGTCCAGTAAACACCTGTTGGATGAAATCTGATCACAGTTTCTGCCATTTCAATGGCTCACTCTTCCCTTGAGAATACGGTCCAAGTTCCTTGAAACGGTTTGGTCCCTCTGTGATCTGGCCCCTACTTATTCTTTAACCCACTGGTTCTTAATGGGGGCATTTTGACTTCCCCTCCCCACAGAAGAAAGATATTTGGCAACATCCACAGACATTTTTGGTTGTCCTAACGGTGGGGATGCTGCTGGCACCTAGTGGATAGAAGCCAGGGATGCAGCTCAGCGGCCTGCACTGCACAAGACAGGCTGCACAGAGAGGGATCTGGTGCAAATGTCCGCAGCGCTGCGCTTGAGAGTCTGGCTGGTTGTCTGTTGCACTCCGAGTTCTAGCCTTGCTGAAGGGCCATGTTCTTCTAGCCTCGGAGCCTTGTCCTTGCTAATGTCCCCACTGAACACTCCTTCCTCTTCCTACTGTTCCTGCTGCTGGCTCTGTTCTTGGCCTAGATGGGGTCTTGAGGCAAACTAATTTCTAACCATTACAACAGGGAGTTAATCCGTTCTGGCAGTTTTGAGACTGTAAAGGTAATGTAAGTTTCTGTCTTTAGGTAAATTTAAGTTTTTACCTAAATTGAAGGTAACTTCCGTGTACAAACATATTCTTCATGTCATTTTGTTTAGATGACTAGAACTGTTACCAAGGACCACGGTATTATTTCTATTAATCCAACTGCAGAGAATAATTGGAGTGAATTAATAAAACTGCACCTATGCAGTTAGAGCCTAAATCCATACAATGTAGCTTTGTCTGTTTTAAGCTACGATTTGGGATATTTAAACACCTACCAGTGAGTTTTAGTTTCTTTGTTTTTCATGTTTTGTGCTTCATTAAAGTATTTCCTTTTGAATGACTAATACATGTGGCTCTTTTAAGTACATCAAAAATTATGTGTAGAGGATGCCTTTAAAGAACAGAAGAAGTGAGATTTGGGTACCTTGTTAGATGAACATGCCAATTCCTGTTATGATATTTGAATACCATCAATGGCAGTTGATTGCAGTGTTTTGACTTGACAGTCTGCTTTTATCAGGAAACCTAGCTTTGTGGCCCTACTTTTGTCCCTGCCCAGCATTCCTGGTGTCACTGACAAAGGAAAATGCTTTAAGGTGCTGGTATTTGTAAAGACCCCCGCACAAGGATTACAAAGTTATAAAGATTTTAGTATAAGAGCAATAGAAGCATAGCCCACTAATTCGTTTTAAAACTACAATTTGCATTTTATGATTTTTAAATCACTCAAAGAAGACTTTTAAAATAAGTATGTTTATATAATGCTCTGATTGCTGGTGAGTTTATAGCTTATAATATTAATACTGCTTTCGTTGCAGCTTCTCTCTCGCTCGCCTTTTTTTTTTTTTCATATCAAGAGTTTTGTGCAGTGGTTATTTTTTAAAAGCTTTCCAAAGTACAAAACATTTTTTTTTTTAAGAATGAAAATATTCTCTCTGCCATTGCATATTTGTTTTACTGTGTTTCTAGCAGTGTAGAATTTCTTTCTTTTTGTATGTTCTGACTTGGCAGGTATTGGCTTTGGCTTTGAAAACAGTTAAATCTTTTAGCTTATCCATATCTTTATCTGAAATTTATACATCAGCCTTGCTAAGAAACCCCAAACAGGCACTACACATTTTACCTACCCCTTAATTTAGAACTTTGGCACCAGGTGGATTCTCCAGCTGTGCCTTCCCATTTCCCTCACCTTTCCGCCCTCTAGCCTTACTTCACTGGGTTCTATACTCGTTCTTTTCTACTGTGACTATTTACTGAATTCACTCACCAAGCTCTGTCCTAGAGGGTAGTGATGGGCTCTAAATACAAGGTGATCTCTTTGGAGTGACAAATTCCCAAGTAATTACATTTAATAATGTGTGATAAATCCTACAATGGAGAGAGGTACAAAAGACACTGGTGGCGTAGGATTTTTAAAAGGCACTTCTGCTTGGGGGATTGTAGAAGACAGAGGAATACTTGAACCAGACTCCTAGATAGGAAAAGGGCAGGGGGGCTGGGGGTGAGAGTCTAGGCAGAAAGAATAGAATGACTTACTTGCAACCATTGCTGGTCATCTTCATTTCCTGCTTCCTCCCTCCTAAGTGATATAATCAAGCAAAATCCTGCCATCAGCTATAATATTATGCTGTATTTTGAATAGATAATTTGAGTTAGGTTTTCCGTTCAAAAGGAATAAAGAGCCACCGAAGACGGGTCATTAGGGAGCTGTCTGGCTGTATTTAGCTTTGCACATCTTTGAGTAGACCTAAATCTGCTCTGGAGGTCATGGACCTCTTTTTGTCTTTCTTAGTTCTTCCCTTCTTATCTCAAGACTTACTGTAAATAAAAAGCTGCTTTGTTTGAGGTATTTTTATTTTGGAGAGTGTTATTTTCTCAAAATTGATTTAGTTGTGGCTAAGGAGAAAAACTGAAGAGGCAGCTGTCAGAGATATTATTTCTGAAGAGGTTCAAACTCTAGAAAGAAAATTACTTTAGAAAGAAGTCATCTAGCTAAGAGTCTTTATGTGCTTGAATTTCATCCTCAAGAATACTTACCTTAGAAAATGACTCGACTGGTCAAAGGAATCATTATAGGAAGAAGGTGGGAATAGGCATCAGGTTAAAACATTTCGATTATGACTGGGATAAAAGAAACTATCAAAAGTTGGTCTTTTAAAAGGATCCCTCTAAGATGTTAGCCATCATTAAATAAAGATGATCATTTTAAAAATTCCAGTTTTCAGTTTGACAAATGGTTACCATAAATCTGACCACCATTGTGGAGAGGACTCATGTATGTGGTGCTCTCACCATTGTGTGTGTCATGGAGCTTGTGACCCCATACTCTCTAAATGGGGTGTGTGGTCCCTGCTAGAGTGCTGAGTCACACTGAAACAGGATTCCAAGAACTCCACTAATAGCCACACTTTTCCACCCCTCACCAACTCCTTTGCTTATTATTCCTGTCATTCTGGATGGCATTTCGGTGGCAGAAAGAGTAAGAATAGGTTTCCAAGTCCAAAATATGAAATATTCATTTTGTCAAGATTTGGTGTTCTGAAACTGAAATCCTTTTGCTTGTTTGTTTGTTTTCTGACTGGGAGGGGGCTGTGAATGCTAAGAGCCCTATTAAGGAAGAGCATATTGCTCACTTAGAAGGAGAGGAGAACTTTGAGGAATGATTACATGGTCAGAATTCTATAAATAAGTGGGGAGAAAGTGCCATTATTTTTATTTGGACTTCTGTAGTTTACTGGGTTTATTAGGGTCTATATTTTATTTATATTTCATCAGATGTAAAGCTGCTATCTTCTTAGTAACTTGCAAGGAAGTTCGTAAGACTGACCAGAGAAATGCAGAGTAAGGCAAGATATACTGATGGCCCTGTTGTGTACTGGCTGATATTTGTTTTTACTGTTTTAATCAATTATCTGATTTGTGCGTTGGTCAAAATTTGCCATTTTAAGGACATTTAAGATCTATCTTCATTTTAATAGAAGGCTATCTCCCCACCTTTCAACTTGAGAAGTCGTTTTTAATCAGGACTCTGAATCACAAGCTTTCCTTTGGCATGAGCAAGAAGTAACAGCGTCTCGCCGTGAGTTTTCACTGTTGGACTAGCTAGCGCACAGTCGGCCACTTCCCCTGTTGTCAGCTGCTGTGACTTCCCCACAGTTGTGGGTCATGGTCGTGACTGGTATAAAGGCAGTGGGGCCTTTCCAAATAAAAGTTCTCAAATTGGATACAAGATAAAACAGGAGCCCCACTTCTCCTACAGATGCAGAGAAATGGTGAAGGCGGCCATTTGGAGACAGAGCACACACACCTTATTCTTCCCCGCAGGGATACAGTTCAGAAAACTTAACCCTATTTTTATCTGTACTTATTGGGATTATTTTTACTTGGCATCTGTAGCAAAAATAGAAAATCAGTAATCCCAGGGATCTGTGTTGAGCCATTATATACGTTAAAGACTGAAGAGAATTTGTGTTTATAAAATTTTCACTTCATAATTCATTTGCTAGAGAAGCCCTTTTACCACCCTAGTCCGAGGCAAGTACTTTCCTGGAGGCCCTTGAGATGCCCCGCAGGCTTGCCGCCGTGCGCATGTGGGGCCCTCCGACCCCACAGCCTTGCGCAGCCGCAGTAGTGGACTGAGGGGCCTCCCCACAGCCACGGGCTTGCGCAGCCGCAGTAGCAGGCGGAGGGGCTGTCTAACGGTTGCTCGCAGCCGTCCCTCGCGCGTCGGAGCTTGTCTGTCGATTCCCCCGGTTCTCTTCCTCCGCCTCTGGAGTAAGTGGCCATGAGTTGGGCTGTGGGAGTCCTGCGGGCCGGCCGGAGAGTGGGCGCTGGGAGAGTGAATTCGTCGTGTCTACGCCGGCCGGCGGGCCTCCCGCTCACGGGCGCCTGGGCGGTCACCCCCGTGTCCAAGATGGCAACCGTCAAGTGTGAGCTTATCGAGAATTTCACTTCCGAGGAGGCCGTTCATCACAACAAGGTCTCCATCATAGGAACCGGATCAGTTGGCATGGCCTGTGCTATCAGCATCCTGTTAAGGGGCTTGACCGATGAACTTGCCCTTGTGGACGTTAATGAAGACAAACTGAAGGGTGAGACCATGGATCTTCAACATGGCAGCCCTTTCTTGAAAATGCCGACTATTGTGTCCAGCAAAGATTACCTTGTCACTGCAAACTCCAGCCTCGTGGTCATCACAGCAGGGGCACGCCAGGAGAAAGGGGAGACACGCCTTAATTTAGTCCAGCGAAATGTGGACATCTTTAAATTAATGATTTCCAGCATCACCCAGTATAGCCCTCGCTGCAAAATGATTGTTGTTTCCAATCCAGTGGATATATTAACTTATGTGACCTGGAAGTTGAGTGAATTTCCCCAAAACCGTGTTATTGGAAGTGGTTGTAATCTGGACACTGCCCGTTTCCGTTTCTTGATTGGGCAGAAGCTTGGTATCCACTCTGAAAGCTGTCATGGGTGGGTCCTTGGAGAGCATGGAGACTCGAGTGTTCCTGTGTGGAGTGGGGTGAACATCGCTGGTGTCCCTCTGAAGAATCTGAACTCAGATATAGGAACTGATCAAGATCCTGAGCAGTGGAAAAACGTTCACAAAGATGTGATTGCTAGTGCCTATGAGATTATTAAAATGAAAGGTTATACTTCTTGGGCCATTGGCCTTTCTGTAGCTGATTTAACAGAAAGTATTTTGAAGAATCTTAGAAGAGTGCATCCGGTTTCCACCATAATTAAGGGTCTGTATGGAATAAACGAAGAAGTATTCCTCAGTGTTCCATGTATTTTGGGAGAGAGTGGTATTGCAGACCTTATAAAGGTAAAGCTGACCACTGAAGAACAGGCTTGTCTGAAGAAGAGTGCAGAAACACTTTGGGAAATCCAGAAGGAGCTCAAGCTTTAAAGTTGCTTGAAACTACCTTTTTGAAGTTACTGAAGGGATAGTCGTTATAGGGTTTTGTATGTCCAATTTTTTTTATAAGTTTGAATTTCTAGAAGTTGGAAACAGGAAAGGAAGTAGAGTGAGTTACCTGTTTATTTAGCCCCCCAGCTTTTTTATTTAGTATCCAGATGTCAGGATGATTTTTTTTTTCCACAATGATTCAGTGATTGCATCAAAGAAGGTGTTTTTGTACCACTAATGTACCAGTACTTGCTCTGTGTGTGTGTGGTTGCGGTTGCTCTTTGGTCCAAAAAGGATTAGGATATAGGTGTTTGTGTTACAGAAGTGATAATTTTCATTAAGTACATATTCTTTCATTCTGGTTGGCTTATACTTACTGTGTTCATTTATATACCGTTTTTAAGACGTTGTAACTTCCTCTACAATGTAAAAATAAATGTACATACAGAAGTACTTTCTGTAATGGAGCCATCGGCTGTCTTCATTCCCCTGTGACTATCAGCTGGGCCTTAAAAAAAAGGCATTATAAAATGGAGGCTGTGAGTAGGTCCTGTTTGTTGGGGGCAGGGGCACATGCACACACATGCTCATGTATGGATGCCAGTGAAGCAGGATCATTAGGTTAAAATATGAAAATAGGAGTGATCTGGTTGGTAGCACTTATAAAGTGTTTAATGCAGTAAAATGTAAAGCTTTTAGAAAGAGGCCTGACAGAGATGGCAAGTGTTACTGTCATTTATTCAGCAGGGAAAGGAAACATACTTAAATTTTGGAGTTGATAAAAACAAAGGCTGACTAAAATTATTTTAGAACTGGCTCTGAGATCCTGACCTGTTAGCACATTAAATCAGGAAGCTGTTACAGACTGTTCTTGTTAGGCCTGGTCTTATCAGCAGAGTGGGCCCTGGCCCTAAGATGCTCCAGGGTCATCCCTGTTGCTCAGTTTACTTCACATTAACAGAAAGCTTTTGTTTTTGAATTTTGCCCTGTTGTTAATCATTGTCATAAAAATTGGTTATTTTAATGAGTACTTCAAGGATTTTATTTCTCAGAAAGTTGCACATTCGCTTTTTATTCCTAAATCAATTGACTTTACTATAGATTCTAGACTTTATGCATGTGATATAGTGTGGGTTTAGGACAAAGTGAAGATGCTTGTCAGACTTTTACCTAAATGATATACTAATAACTTAGAAAATAAGAAAGATTTTTTTTTAAAGATCTGTTTATTTTAGAGAGCGAGCACAAGCAGGAGGGGCAGAGGTATAGGCAGAGAGAATCTCAAGCAGACTCTGCTGAGCACAGAGCCTGACCAGGGCTCCATCTCAGGACCTTGAGATCACGACCTGAGCGGAAGCCAAGAGTCGGATGCTTCACCAGCTGCACCACCCAGGTGCCCTGAGAAAGATTTTTAAATTCATGTTAGCTTTCCTAATGCAATTGAATATTAAATAATACGGTGTGTTCAAACATATCTCAGGATCCATGTGGATATCTGCAGGGCTAAACAAAATTGAAAGGTATCAGCATCTCCTCTCTAAAGTCAGTCCTGGGGCGCCTGGGGGGCTCAGTCGGTTAAGGGTCTTCCTTTGCCTCAGGTCATGATCCCAGGGTCCTGGGATCAAGTCCCACATCGGGCTCCCTGCTCCACAGGGAGTCTGCTTCTCCCTCTGCCTGCTGCTCCCCCTGCTTGTTCTCGCTCTCTCTCTCTGACAAATAAATTTTAAAAAATAAAATAAAGCCAGTCCTGCTTAGTTGATAGACCTAGGACAGCAATCCACCCCAAAAAATGACCCTTTACCATAGTGATCAGAACTCCCATACTATTTTATTGGAAACATCTAGAAATGTTCTGATTACCCAGGAAGTAGTATCATGTAATGGGACTAATTGATGTACTGAGCTCTCTGAAAGTGGGAAGAATGGTGGTTTGGTGGTTCCAGCTGATTCTAAGAGCTATTTAAGCTTAACTGCACAGAGTTTCTCTTCCCCTTTGTCCAGCCCTTGAGTTTTTATTCAGCCATATTTCAGCAAAGTTCAGTGTAATTTTGAAGGGGATCAGAGCATGCCCTAGGTCTGTTTTGTAATTCTCTTCACTATGTCAGTCAGGATAGGCTGGGTTATACTATATTGAAAAAACAGTCTCCAGATGTGTGGCTTAAAATAACAACCGTTTATTTCTCTTGTAAAATCCACTGTGGGTTTACTTGAGTCTCTAGGGGAGCTGTCCTACACAAGGTGGCTTCGTACCTCAGATTGTTTGGATCTTGAGGCACCTCTGTAGTAACACAGGTTTCCGTTATTTCCATGGAAAGGTAAGAGTGGCCTGGAAACAGCTGCAATTACATGCTTCACCCTGCAAGTGATGCACATTTCTTTTGCCAGAACTAGTCATGTGGTTACCTAACTTCAAGAGGGTGGAGAAGTATAACTCCCCAATATCGAGAAGTACATGATTTCTGGTTATCAGTGAACATTGATAATAATCTGCCATACCATTCTAAATAAAATGGTAGCCCCTGTAAGAGTATATATGCTTTTGAAGTCCTTTTTTGTGTAAGCTGGTATGTGAATAGAGGTTATAGAGGTATCAAGTCTTTCCAGGTCACAGAACCAGAGTGGCTATGGAGAAAGCCCGGGACATCATTCAGTCAAGTTGTACTTAGAAAGCACGTCACCAGAGCTGGGTTAACCTCTCTGACCTCTGGTTTCTCATATGTAAAGTGGTGGTTCTCATTTCTGCCACATGGAGTTATAAACACTAAATAATAGCCTGATGCTTGGTACAGTGCCTGGCACCTAGGTAATCTCAAATGGCAGACATTTTTATTCCTGTTCAAGTAACAGTTATAGTCTTACTCTATTTTATGGAGGAGATGAATTTCCAGGTTCGTCAAAATTACTCTTGGCACCATAATTATTGACATATCCAAAGGCTTTCTTATCAGTTGGTCCTGTAAAGCTTTCATCATTCTACTTCCAGCACTGAAGGTCCTGCAAGAGGTAATTGAAGTTAAATGAGCTAGGCAATGGCAAAGACATTTTACAACCTGAGCTTTTAATTCCAATAACTGCTTATTTTTTTAAGGATAGATGCTGTAAGGATTTTCTCAAATTAATTGGGTACATATCCTGAGCTTTTAAGGAGTTTTTCAGCACACCATATATTAGACCAAAAAGTCTTCATGGATTTTTCCTGCCAAGACGAGCGTGATAAATGTGCAGCAATATCCCATGTTTCACTTCTGGCATACTAGCTATATGGCCCTTCAAAAAGCTGTTGCAATGTGAATGAGAGTAACATTATTAGAGGCATAATCTTGAATCTGTTCTAATACCTAAAAAGTTGCTCCTACCCAGTCTTCAGAATGTCCATATTAGTGACAAAGTACTTATAATAGGTTTCCCAACTGTCATGACATTGTATTTGAGAACTGCCTTTAGAAAGCAGTACTTTCTGATCATATGACAACCCATCACTGTTGGACACAAACATTGGGACTTAAGGATGAGGTTCTTGAGCAGTAGGCTCGTTGCCCAGGGGGTGCCATTCCTGTCTTTGTGGAGGGCAGCACCTGGAGTTGTGCTGTACACACAGTGGCCCTGTTTAGAAGGGTAGCCCTGTGACCCATAGCCACGGTCATATTCTCCCTGGTCAGAGGAAAGAGGGAAGAGGAGAGAAGAGATCCAAGAGTTTGCAAAATGCTGCAGAGGAAAACTGAGTTACTGGATGGAGACTAGTTCCCAGTATGCCCCATCCTCACCAAACTTTTGGGATATAAGGTAGGGCGTGGCTTATGGCAATAGCTGTCATTGTTATTGTGGAATCCAGTACATTGGTGTTATAATTAAATTTGCTTAAATTAACTCAACCCCTAAATCTTTTCAAGCACATTTTTAAGCAGAAGTTTCTGTTGGCCTGTGATAGAGTATCACTGATAAGACCAACACCTCTGAACTGCATTATCAGAAATTGACAGAGGTAAAAAGAAAAAAAAGTTTTAATTTCCTATCCATATAACAAAAATAGGACAAACTTAAAAACCTGCTGTGGAAACCCTTGTTTAAGGCAACATGAGGCCCTGTTTATAACCTAAATGTGGACTCTGGGTTTCCATTTCCACAGCTGTAAAATTAAAGAAGAGGCCTAAATGGTGTTCTTTATCCACTTGCCTCCCTTCCTTTACTTCTCTTTGAAGCCTATTTTTAATTGGCTCTTTTTCAGACATGATTCCTTCCGGTGGTTCAGTAACTCGTTTATGACTCTGGGAGCAAGTAAATGATACAATACTTGGGAAATTAAAGACAAGGAAAAAAAAAATCAGTCCAAGAGGAGGAAATGGGAACACAGGTCCCCATGCTGAAGTAGAGCAGTGACTCTTTTACTCCTCCCCAGACCTCATCTGCGTTCCCCAGCTTCTCCCTTCTCAGCAACTGCCCATGTTCCACATCCCTGAGAAGGTGAAGTGGTAAATGATTCTTTTCATGTCTCACTCTCTGACTCCCCATTTGAAAACTGTCATTAGGTTTAGTTGTGACAGATGTTCAACCAGTAAAGGTGAAGGGAAAGAACTAGGCAGCACATTGCAGACCCTGGCCAGAGATGTCTTTGAACTGAGAAAGTCTATGCAAAAGACTCCTCAACGGGGCCATGTTGGTTATTTTAGACGACGCAATTCTGTTTTTTTTTTTTTTTTTTAAGATTTTATTTATTTGAGAGAGAGCACGAGGGAGAGGGAGGAGCAGGCTCTCTGCTGAGCAGGGAGCCCGATGCGGGGCTCGATCCCAGGACCCCGGGATCATGACCAGAGCCAAAGGCAGACGCTTAATGGACTGAGCCACCCAGGCGTCCCCAAAGCAATATGTTAGATATTTAGAATCTGTCCCTGTGATTATGACAACCAAAATGGCATGACACGATTTGAGAACTGCTGTTTGGAACTACAGTTCCAATCCCTCCCCAGTACTGCCTCTAGTTGACAACCTCTCATGAAGGATTCACCACAGTACAAGCTAGAGAGTTACATGGGAGAAAGGGCTAGGGAGAGGGATATGCGCCACGGATGTGTGTGTCTTGAGTACTGGTGTCTGGGACCCAAATGTTGAGATGGTTGGCATGGACCTCCTACAGACTACGTAGAATGGGTAACCTTATGGATCTCCCAATGTCAAAATACTTAGACCAAAATGATATTGAACTATAAAGTAATGCTTTTAACAAACCCACCATATTATATATATCCATGTGAACTTTGTTTTTGGAACACGCCAATGATGCTATAATGACAATAGCTAATATATATTGAGCGCCCCCATGTGGTAGGTACTGTGCTTTCATCCTCACCACCCTGTAAGCAGGTAATGATCGCCATTCTACACACGTGGAATCTACTGCTTAGAGAGAGGAAGCAGTTTTCCCAAGTAGTGGAGTTAGGATTTGATCAGAGAGGTCTGTCTGATCCCAGAGTCCGTGCTGCTAATAGCTGGAGCGAATGCCTAGGAACTGACAAGTCCTGAACACGACCCACTTGCTGAATTTAGAAACAAGGTAAGGAATCGGCTTCAAAACAAAGTGAAATAAAACATTAGCCAACTCTCAAAATGACCACTCCAGGAAATGACTTGGTGTTGTCAGTGAGTCCAAGGTGCTTCACAGATCTGATTGAGGGGATCCATATCCCTGAGAAATGCAGTTAGGATGTGGTTGATGAGAATATCATAACGTGGCGCTGTAGTGCTGAAGTGATACCTTCACAGCAGGACCAGATAGATTAAAATAATGAATCAAACTGTGTGGCTGGGACTATCTAATGTAAAGATTATCCAACTCCCATAAATGAGTGTTGCCCTCCCTTCGGGCAATGCGCTCTATACCTGGAGCCAGGTGCTCTGGGCTGACACTGCATATTGAAGATCTTCAGCCCCCTGCTCCAGCTCTTGGGTTCCAAATCCACCTCTGCCGGTAAAACCTCTACACAGATTCTTCAACGCTGTCTGGCATATGAGAACATTCTAGTTTATCTGCCATCCACTGGTTCATTCTTTATTAACCTCCTACTGAGTTTCTTCTCTCCCCTTCTTCCTTTTGGCTCCAAAATTCTTGGTATATTTAAGATAAACAGAACCCCCCCCAAAAAAAGAAACCCCAGAACTCCCATTCTCAGCTGTATCTATAAACATATGAAAGCCAACAATACATAGCATTCTTCTGGTAGGAAATAAATATCATGGAGGGTTGGCAATTTAAATTACGTTGCCTTCCAGATTCAGAATGGTGTTTTATGTTAATTTAAAGCCCATAGATTAATACTTGGAAGAAGAAAAGAGGTGTCTCATTTCCTTTTAAGGTAGCTAGAGCAGTCTTTACCTTTTATTGTACCCACAAGCAATGAAGTATCATTCAGGCAGCAACAGGGTCTCTCTCTAATTGCTTTGGCTCTTTTCCCCTTCTTTTAATTTTTTTTTCAAAGATTTTATTTATTTATTTGAGAGAGAGAATGAAAGATAGAGAGCACGAGAGGGAAGAAGGTCAGAGGGAGAAGCAGACTCCCTGCTGAGCAGGGAGCCCGATGTGGGACTCGATCCCGGGACTCCAGGATCATGACCTGAGCC